TGAAGAAACAATTTTGATTTTATTTTTTTAAAATAAATAGCAGGAAAAAAAGAAATATTAACATTAGGCAAAGTATATTTTATTATCTATTATTGTTTCCTTAAATAGTCAGGATTATGTGTTATGAAATGTACTTGGCTTCCTCAGACAACTTGTATTTTATTACAATTGTTGGTCTAGTAAACACATTAGAAGTATAAAAAGTTAGGACTACAGGACTCTTGAAAGTCACTGGTAATAGTGGCCAAACTGTCAGCTCTCAGTGCAGATTACTAAATGTTAAGATTAGCAAAATGAGGATTAAGGAAATTCTCAGGAGTTATTAATATGCCTGTAATAGTTTTCTATGAGATACCAAGGGAAATGTTTATATTCAGAGCCAGAACTACACAGATGGAACACCATCAATATTAAGACATATTGCCAAGTTTAGGGTATTTTTTTTAACTACCTACTCTCCAGATTCTTTGTTTAAAGAAAAACAATACCAAAACCAAACAAAAAGCCCCAGCCAATCAAAATAAAACAGACCAACAAAACAAAGCAAAAAACCCAGACCAATTTCACCTCAAACTCCAACACACTTGCATTAACCAGAGCACAAAAGGCAACAAAGCTAATAGCCCCTGAAATAAATACATCTCTCTAACACTGACATATCTGAAAACCACATTTTTTCATCAAGGAATATAGAGTTTTGTGTTGTTACAGTCAACTATTTATTTACATTTCTTATATTTTCCAAGTTTTACTGAGTATTTTATGCATCTTGTGAGCAAATAAAATTAAACAGTACAATTTAGTTTTATTTCAGAACATTCAAAATTTCACTAAATAAAAATAGAATAAAACTAAATTAAATTAATCTTCCACTATCAATCCTATTAAAAGTCCTCCTACAAGTAATTGATATAAACTTATGTAAGGGTAAATCTGTGACATATGCTAGCATTCTTGTAACTGCTAGAAATTTTGCACAAACTTATTTTTTCTCAGAGGAAGACAAAATTTTGTGGGCATCTGATCTCGAAATTGAAATCAACAGTAAAAAAAAAAAATCTTCTGACAATTGGATTTATTATCAGATAAAATATAATTGTGAGAAATTTCTGAGTCTTTTGACACTTGGAGTAATTCAGTATCTATGAAATGGCTGTATGAAATATCAACTGCTTAACTTAACAGAAGAACAAGTTTAGGAAAAAAACCCAATGTGCAACGTGAGATGCATTAAGAAATAGCTCTCCTCTAAGATCCCTTTTGCACAGAATATTTATTTTACTAATTAAAAGACTCACTGTTTAAAGATTGCTACCACAAACCCTGCAAGTCTAACAACAGCAACCAGTTCTTGTGCCAGCTACTGGCAAAAAATAATGGGTGAACTTCATTCAAACTGTAGGTGTATACCACATCCCAAAAGAGATCTGAGACATTGAGGAAGAATCTGAATTACCTGGAAAAATTATAGAAAGAGTAAGACACTGCTGGAGTTATGAAGGATATTAGAAATGCCTGGAAGAAAAGCTTTCATTTGTATAAGCTTTGAGAAGACAGAGTGGTCTACCGAAACCTCAGCTGCCACCAAAAGTACTTGCTTTCTGCTTTGATAATACAGAAAATTACATTTGATAATATTGTCCTTTCAAAACCTTCTGTGAATAAATACAAAGGTTTAGAAAGAACAGAAATATCTGCTAGAGGGTTTATGGGGAAAGCTGCTCCTGAAATGTCTCATGACTACACCAGTGTGTGTCACAGAGTAGTTCAGCTGTCACACAGACTGAGCTGGATACGTGTCTGTAACTTGCCATCCTCACTTTAAATCTGAGCAGGAACAGAGCAAAGAACAACCCAGCAATGTTTACCATGACAGCATAATCTGTCAACTGCAGATCACTTCCCCAAATGTAGCTGTTGTTACCTCTCTGGAAACATGCCTTTGTTGCTCTTGCATTTCCAGAAGATGGGTCTGCCTGAAGTAGCCGTGCTAATTCGATCTGCAACTTTAGTTTCCTCTCAGTATAAAAAAAACCCCTGATGCTCTTCATATTTCTCACACTGACAGGAATGGTGGCTGGCACACTATGAGCAACAGAGCAAAGCCATGATTTTTGAAGCAGAACACACAAGTCTGCAGCTCATACAAAAGACTTATTCTCAAAGACCTCAGTTTTGTCTAACTCATTCTCTTTAGATAGGACACAAAGGAGGACACATGACACATTTAACTGCAGAACCACAAGTTCCCAGGCAAAACATTGAAATTAAGAATCTACTCTCATAATTTATATCTCCCTTCCATATCTGATATGTTTTCACTCTAGGCACGATACACACACATTGTTCCACAGCTGTGCAACAATGGGTATGCAGATAAATGCAATTGCTTCTGCAGTGCAGCACTAACTGCTGAAAACTTGGCAAAGTGCCCCCAGCAAAGAGCTCTGTTTTACACAGCCATTCTTATGACACTTAGATAATCCAGGACAAAACTGCTGGTTTTGAAAGGGGAGTGATGGTTAGAGAAAGGATGAGCCATAATGAGAAGTGAGATTACATTTGACCAACTTGACAATCAGAATTTGAGGCTTGCAAAATGCTTCCATTCTGCCACCTCTGTTACAGAAGGCTAAATGTGATCAGAACACACCTAGCTGCCTGCAGATCTTTCAAGAAATGGCATAAACAGCTTCCAAGAACTCAGAAAACATAAGGTGTGAAACATTGTATTCCTTTCACCCAACTCAGGAGATTTCCCCACATCAACTGTTTCTCAGATGAATCTCTGCTTAACATTTTGGAAACACTTTGGAAAGCATAGGAGGACTACACTGTGGCATGTCTGTCCTATAACTCTGCAAGTTCATCTTGATATTACCAAAGTACTTTAAGGCACTTGGTGAACTTTCTTTTTTTTTTTCTTTTATCTGAAAAGGAGGAAGAAAAAAGGAACTTGGAGGCAAACAGTATCTAACTTCAACTGATACCCTCCGAATTTTCCTCTAATTTAAAAAATGCAAGCTACAAGCCACAAAGTATCTCAAATTTGAGAAGAAGTCTACAGAGAAAAGTCAGAAATTACACTTAGAACACTGCAAAAACTTGATTTTTTAGTTCTTCCCTTCTCTTAGTGTACTATGGAACCATGATTTATAGAACATTGGATAGGAAAAGGATCTTTTTGAGGGTTTTTGTTCTTTGTTTTGGTTTATACAACAGAGATATGAAGTTTCTCTTAGAATGGCCTTCTAAAAACTAAAGTCAGCAGCCAGAACAACTGCTTCTTCATCACAAAATTAAGTCTCAAACGTCTGTGAATGAAAAGTGTTAGATAAGAATTTGTGCTCATCTGGCAAGGGAAAAGCTTCAGATTCTAAGTCTTGTCACTAATCTAAGGTGACAGTTATATCAATATTTTTTTTAATTGAGGCAGAGAATTAATAATTAGCATTCCACTAATACTGTGTTTTAGAGGAGAGACTGGTGATCCAGGACACATTCACTCCTGGGAAAGTTCATTTCTGTGCAGCTAGAAACTGAATGTTATGTTCTTGAGGCCTGTTCCTACAGTAATACCTATAGTTATCTTTGGAGTGTGGGTTTTTAGTCATATAAATGTTTAAAAAATATTACCATTCTTTAAAATTCCCTTTTTAAAAAGTCCATATATATTTATTAATGTTTGCAAAGCTGAAGAGGTATGAAAGAGCAGTAATGAAAAGAAAGGAAAACTATTGTTATGAAGCAGGCAGAGCATATAATAAAACAGAACTAATCCAATGCATAACTTTAAAGTTGGTTAGCTTTATCAGGAGAGAAATATCTCATGAAAGGCAAACAAACACCAATCTCATTTTTCCTTTTCATACCTGTATCTGTATTATAAATGTATTACATAAAGGACAAAGAAAATTTAAAAATCAACAATTGACTGTTTATTAAAGGAATGCAGTCAAAACAAATTTCTAAAAGAATTATTTGTCAGTAGATAACAAAAGAGAAGGAGATAATAATTATTTAATTTACTGAGTTATTTCACTAGGTGCAAGATCTCAAAGCTTTCCACTTCCAGTCTTCATATCCCAATAACTTGTCCCTACTAAATTTATAAAACATTAGAAGCTGAAACTTTTTTATCAGCAGCTATTCAAAACACAAAGCTGAATGTCTTTGTGAAAAGCCTAGAATCTATAATTTTATTTTTTAGCTCATATACTTTGCTCCATTTACACTGACTATTTTGAACTCTATTCCTTAGAAATACTCCCGGTGGTTGATTTCAAACTAAGTTAATCTTTCACCATTTTCTTTATAACAGCACCAATGTTAATAAATAAATAAATAAACAAACAAACAAATAAATAAATAAATAAGAGATATTTTCTTCAATAATGGCATACTTTAAAAACCATATTCTCATTGCTTGAGCATTCATTTAAGTAAAATGAGTGTCTCGTCTTGGTACTCAGTCACTTGGAAAAAGCCCTAACAAAACAAACCTACAAACACTGCCACGTGGGCATGTATTTGAACTACACAGGTTGCTGCTTAATTATCTTTGTTTCAGAAGCAGTATTTATTCACTACATCTGCTAAAATGTGTTAGCTTCTCTGTAAATAATCTGAAATCTAAAAATATTTTTCATTTCTCTTTTACATCCAATTTCTATGATTTCCATGCTCAAAATGATGTCCCTAAATGTCTTTTTACACTCACATGTACTGACAAATTAGCTGGAAAAACACACAAAAGAACAATGAAAGTAAATGTTTTAATTTTTGTTCTTATGGAATATTTGTCTTTTAAGGTATTTCCTGCCTGGAGCATGTGCTCAGCTTGATTAAAATAATTTTTTGTATCTAACATAGGGTAGAATGCCTTTCATTGGTTTCCACCATTTATGTACTATTTCCAATCTATTGTACATGAGTAATATTAAAGCGAAGTGTTCACCTCAAACTGCTTTGAAAAAATATTAGTAGGAAAACACACTCACCTTCAGGCTCCCCACAGAGTGTACACTGTGACTCTGCAAAGAAAAAGAGAAAATTATAATTTCTTTATTTTAAGATGTCATAATTATATCCAAATATAACAAAACTCAGAGAACTCAAAATTAGCACAAAAAATGCAATTCTATTTCCAGCACACATTTCTTAAAAGGTGCAAAATAATAAAAAAAAAAAAGAAAGGATTTTTTCAGGAAGAATTTTAAAATAGAACTATATAAATATTTAGTTACATTTATATAACTATCACCTTCAGAGACTCCAGATTGCATTCATGTAGCAAGACTTTTTCCTTCGACAAGACTTTTTTCTATGTTGATATGTACAATACTGCAGAGACAACAGTCACTCAAATAAAAAGTTTAAGTCTGCTAATATTTTACTGTTTGAGGTAGCAAACAGCAATAGTGACAAAGTTGTATTCCTTTCTCATAAAAGACTCCCATGTCCTCCCAGGCAAGAGAAGTCAAACAGTCATTCAAATGTACACTTATATTCTGCAAAATACTCAAGTATAGAAATGAAGGAAATTAAACTCTATCAGAACAAACATACAATCTCTAAAGGAGCAGTTACTATTTTATCTATCTATCTATCTATACGCAGGCACATGTGCACACACACACGTGTATGTAGAAACTGTAATATAAAATCAGTACAAAAAGCAGTTTAACATGCCTGGCAAATAAAAGTCCACTACAAAAGCTTCCTGAAATTATCTCCACCTTGGATAACAAATAGAAGACTTAACTTTAACTATGATCTTCACTCAAAGGCAAAAAATGTCAGAAAAATACAATATGAAACACGTGCACTGAGCAGTTTGACCTCTGTAGTGCCACAGTGGCACTGCCAGTTATTTAGAAGGACTTTCTCCATACAGGTAAGATGCTGTAACCCACCTTGTAATGGCCCTTGACCCTACATCTTTAATCTCTTTTGAACATGTTAATCCCTGGGGTTTTACTACTGTTAGAGACTGTGGCATGCATGTGGGAAGTGAGGAAAAATAAATGAATGAGGAAAAATAATTTTTTCCAGGCAGCTCTGCTGATGCTAGGTAGATCACAACTTTTAGAACACCATAAAGTTGCCTGATAGAAAGGCATGAAATTTAAAGCAGCTCAACACCTTGAAACACATAGCCAAAGTTTGTATTGACAGACTTATTAGTGTCCCCAGCAGAAGTGACAAACTAGAAACAGCACCCCAACAACAGGCTCGAGAAAATCTCCAGTGAAGAGCACGAAAAGCCTGGTCACAGGTAAGTCAGGCCACTTTCTTTCACTGCGTGATGAAAAGTGCATTTGCCACAACATGAAGTGAGGCAGAAGAACCAGCTCAGAAGATATTTTTTTCACATTTTATTCAAAGACTTTCTGAGGTTTTACTGAGATGGGCTGCCTGCCTGTGTCTAGTTTGTTATCCTGTTTGATAAGGAAGAATAATCTGAGACTTGGTTTCTGAAGTTCTGACTTTTTTTGATTCTCTATGTTCTTAACAACTGCTCACCAATTTTTTATAATCCAAAGAGTCTGCCTGACATATTTGGCACCTTCAAACACCATCTTCATAGGTCCCCACTCAACAGTACAAATGACTAGCTTCCCTCTTTTTTTCCCTCATAAACATAAATTAGTGCCAATATTACAAGTCTGCAGGAGGGTAGATAGTCTGCCTGCAAAACAAGGCTTGCAGCTATGACTAGTGCCAGAAAGTTGTCAATAGCTAGAAAGGTGTCAGCACTATCCCTGCCAGACTGCAGATTTTTTGGACTTTTTCAGATGTTTGTTTAAGGTCCCATATCTGTGAGGAGCCCAGGTGTCCCCCTGTCTCAGCGTGCCTGAGGAGATTTCATGGGGGGATTTTTTTTCATGCCTTTCAGCAGCTGGGAATGATTTCAAACTGACAGCAGCATGTCTCTGTACACTGGTAAGAAGCAGACTTTGTGGATGTGGATAATTCACCACTAAGGCTCTGTTTATGAATTTCTCTGCTGCAGTTTTCCTCTGGGTGGGGAGACTAGATACCCTTGTTGTTGTGCTGGACACATACAGGTTGAGAGACAAATAAAAACACAAACCACTTCTAGCAGGCATGTAAACAACACAACAAGTAGGTTGTACAGAGCCCTGCTTTCCACAGAGCCTGTGTGAGAGGGACAGAAATATTTATTTCTCTACAGAGTCTGTTTAGATCTGTACATTCTATGGCTATTGTTGAGAGACTGCACGCCCTCAGTTTCTAAAACCACAACCCATAAACATACACTCAATTATTTGTTGATTTACATTATAAGGAAATACTGAAATCTGAAAATTTTGTTAAGAAGCTATGATTTGACACTTTTTAAAACTTCTTTTCTCTGTAGTGAAGTTGCTGTATGTTGGTAGAAAAGATCTTTCTGGAAGATGGCTCAATACTAAACATCTGCATTAATTTAAATTTTTACTAATTTCAGTTAAATTTTAAATTTTTTTTCAGTTAAATTTTTACTAGTTTCAGTTCTGGGGGCAGATGACAACAATGAAGGACATGACAATAGTAATTACATTGTTTAGGCTTAGATCCATCTCACCCAAAGTATATTAGCATTAGTTGAGTGTATCACTAAAATCTAAACTAGTCTCAAAAAATTAACCAAGGAGAGGAAAGAAACAGCCACTTATTCTGTCTTAGAAACTTACACAGCATGAAATCAAAATCAAGGTCACCTTTTTTTTTTAATTACTCATTCATTTTTTTCCTTTTGAATGTTGTAAAAGGTCTTAGACTTCACAATAATATTCACTGCAAAAGAGGAGGGTTTGTTATATGTGACCTCTGGAGATGAACTAGTTCAGCCTCCCACTGAGAGCAGAGAAGGGCTTTTGCCAATACAAGTTCAGTTCTGCTGGGGCTTAATAGTCAAGTCCTGAAAGTCACCAAGGATAGAGATTTCACAACCTCAATGAGCAGCCTGCACCAGTGCTGCATCAGCCTCATTAAGCTGTACTTTAATTTCCTGGTGTGTACTTTGGGCCATTCTTCGTGGTTGTGTCACTCAGCATTGCCCAAGTGACTTTTGCTCCATGCTCTGTAACTCTCCTTCATGTAGCCCACTGTGGATCTTCACCCCAACAGACTAAACAAGCCCATCTCTTTCAACTACTCGGGGCAGAGGGCCCTCTGCTAGACTTCCTCCATTTCCTCCCTGAGCTTGTGGAAGCAGGGAACCCCAATCAGTGCACACAGTATTCCACGTGCCTCACCAGCACCAGAGGGATGTAAAAACCTTGATAATTTGCTAAGGATACTTGTGCTGATATAGCCCAGCACGTACTTTACATGTTTGCAATGAGAATGCCATCTACTCACTCATGTGCAGCTTGGTATTCATGTACATTCAGAAAAAAAATAAACTAGTATATCAAGTATTAATAAGATGAGTACTCTGATCAAAGTCTCCCAACTATTACTGCCATGCCAATGTATGTGAAATTATGGCCTCAGACAAGTAACTTTTCTACAAAACTTTTCTACAAGTAAATTTTCTACACCCATGCTGGATAAAATGTCGAAGTGTATGAAATAGAAGCAGGGACATGACCACATTTCAGGCAAAGATATTTCTTAAGCCTCTCCCTTGCACAATTCCTAGAAATGGATTATGTCTGTGCATATCTGATCCATCCAAAGTATTATAGTATTACTTTCACAGGAGGTATTCTTTCTTTGCTGTTGCTAATTAATTGCACTTAACAAAGTTGCTCCTTCTAGCAAACACTCATACATCTGAGTAACTTTTTGTCATAGCTCTCAGTAGCAAAATGACTAATACAGGTGAGTGTTCAGAGATTTAGGACCCAATAAATCAATATAACAAGGAAAGCCTGTATGTATATTATTAATCTTACACTGTCATTTTGAAATTGTCTAGCCAACAGAAATAATATTCCCAGATACAAGAACTTGCTGACAAAATAGGTCATAAGAAAGATCCTATGAAGAAACAAATTTGTCATAAATACACAATATATTTTTCCCTCCAAATATTATGAAACGTATTTAATTTTTATAGTTTTTCTTGCCCAATTTCAATGATAAGAACAACTAAAAATAATAAAACCAGACATATAAATGCCAACATTATTTCTCAAAAAAAAAAAAGCTGAATTCAACATTTAGTTTTAAATTAGAGTGAAAATAAATTATTCTGCTAGACATATAAATGCCAACATTATTTCTCAAAAAAAAAAAAAAAAGGTGAATTCAACATTTAGTTTTAAATTAGAGTGAAAATAAATTATTCTGCTAAACACACTAACATTTCATTCTTTGTATACATACTTTTCTTGTATGACTGGTCCAAGCACAATCAAACTACTATAAAGAGGTAGACTAAAGAAAGCAATATAAGGGCCAGGTGAAATACATAAAATAGCCATTACAAAAAACCGCAATTCAAACCATCCATACAGGCTATATAATGAAATAGGATTAAGACACCACATACCAGTAATATTTTTAATTAAAGAAAATATTGGATGGTATTTAACACTACACTTCACTGTACACTATGCTCTCAAAAGGGGTTTTCCAAATTATGGAGTCCAATCTGGATGATTTTGACCAGGTTTTATGGAAGTGACAATATGGGGAGCAATAATGTGCAAAGGTGAGAAGCAGTGCTGGGGATAACTTGACACATCAGCACTGCATTCAAAAAATACATTATGTCAGCACTTCTGACTACCTTTGAATAATATACCACATATCCTGTTCTGTATCTCCTCTACACTTTTTTAACAGGTCTTTCTGTCTTTCTTTTAATCTGATACTTCCAGATACCTTGCACAGCTCTTCCCTGCTGCCTATATTATTTTAAATTTGAATTAGAAACATACATGTTCTCCATCGCCTATATTTCTCTATTTGCTTTTCCTTTTTTCCCCCACTAGATATATTTACTGATTGGCCAAAAAAAAAGAAGTTAGAACTGTACATTTACTGAATATCACTGCCTATTTGAATCCAGAAT